TCAGAATTCTGACTTTTTCCCACATTAAATTGAAATAATACTTAAAAATCAGTTAACTTTTAAATTTTTCAGTGGCCCTAATCCTCTTCCCTAACTACCTTATTAGAACACCTTATAATTAATATTTTTGAATGGAACAATATAAATAAACATCTACCAACCTAAAGATGTCTTTACAGCATTTTAGGACCGTTAACCTGTTATTTCTGTGAAGGACACCCTGAAGATGTGCTTCATTTATTCTGCTCTCTTTGGTAAGACATTTTCTCATTAAACTGTTTTTGTATTGAACCCGCTTCTTTCTCTTTGCTTTGAACATAGATTGGCTTCATCAACTATTCCTCAATGAAAACAGATCCTGGTATCTCTACAAATGTTTTTACAGTAAATAAAAAGGCCTCTTCTCCATTTTTGAAATACATTTCAAGGGATAAATCTAAAGTATTAAACATTCAAAGAATGAATGTATTATTGAATGAATAGGAATTTATTTCAGACAATTTGACAATCAACAATAACAACAACAAATGAATCAACCAAATATACACAAAAGAGACCAATTAATATCAAACAAAGCCATTTCCAAACTAACTAAATTCACCTGAACATAAATAGAAACAAAACCCTCCACCAAATAAACCTGTTGGTATATAGCGCCAGAGAACTGACATCAATTAATGAAAAAAATCTGAAAAGGGATATGAAGAAGAAAAACTTATTTTTCATGTGCTCTTTCCCTCTAATAGCATTTAAATTAACTTAAAGTAGAGTAAACTTCCTGTTAAACTTGTTTATTATCTAATATTCTCACAAAAATACATATATACATATATAAACAATTATATATGTATATATACACACATATATATATATATATATACATATACTATAATATATACAACTACATGCATACATGTAAATGAATATATACAGACCTACACAAACACATCAGGTCAAAATCCACATTTACACCCTTGTACAGTCAGAGAACTGCGACCCCCCAGAACCCCCCAATCATCAGTACCACAGAGCAACACCACAGTCCCTGCTCCCGCTCCCCCCACCGGTCCCACCCCGCACCCTACAATGACACTCACCTCCCCTCTTCATCACAGTACATAAAAAAAAAAATACCAGTTTGAGCTTTTTTAAAAATAAAAAAAAACAGACTCAAACTTGGACATTTCTTCAGCTCTTTTTGGAGTTTATTTCAGACCTTCACACCAACGACTGAAATGCACATCCTCTTCATTGTGGTTCGAACCCTCACGGTTCTAAGGTTTTCCCTGTAGTCATAGCCTACCACTCTATCAGACAACTAAGACATAAAAAAATCTACTAAGGCTACTAAAACTCTCAACTTACACACAAGGACACAATTGTTGTTTCCCTTCATTTGATGAAAGAAATCCCCACAATAGTCACATAAATAACTTACATCTAGCAAAAATAATGAATCAAAATTCAATGAAAATGAACAAAGGAAAGTAAGACATTGATTTTTAACTATGCTTCAAACGAAAGGTTTAAAACATAAATTAATGAAACAGGTCTACACATATCATTCTAGAATCCTCTGATAGTCTTGAGATTTCATGAAACCCTGCACATATTCAGACACCTTGCTCCAGATGAAGCTAAGCAGCCCCAGAACATAACAGTGCCTCCTCCATGCTTCACAGTAGAAACATTGTTCTTTTTTTTATATCCTTAATTTTTCCATCTGTGAACATAGAGCTGATGTGCCGTGGCAGAACCTTCAACATTTCTTATTTCTATTTCTAATCTCCTGTGGCAACTCTTTCCGTCCCTTCCTCTGGTCCATGTTGAGTGTGGTACACATCATGTCACCAAACTTAGACTTAGATAAACTTTATTGTCATTTTGTACACACAGAGTGTATACAAAAAGAATTTTTGTTAAGTACAGCTCTCAAGACATTTCCATTTTTAAAGTGGAGCAGTGATAAAAAAAAAAAAAAAAAAAGGGTAGGCTTAAAACTTTCCGTTTTGATAAAGCTCATAGTTAGAGTGGCTCAGGTTATCCTGAGCGTCTCTATAGTTACGCTGCTATAGGCTTAGACTGCTGGAGGACATAGGGACCCCTATGTGGGAATAGGAATATATAAACCGGAGTTTAAAATATACATATCTAAAGGAAAATCAGGTCAATCTGTTTTCACAGCAGAAGTGGTGGCAGATATAGTAAGCTTACACTAGGTAGAGCAGGTTAGACCAGACAGGGTGGTAGTCTGTACAGATTCCAAAGCAGTTTTAGAAAGTATCTCAGGGAGAAGGAAATGATAGAAAATATTTAGTATTAGAAATTCAGCACAGTCTGTTTAGATTAAATAGTGGCATTGATATTTGGTTATGTTGGGCTCCAGCGTATGAAGGTGTAACAGGCAATGAAAAGGCAGATATATTATCAAAAAGGGCTTTAGAGGGAACAATAACAACAATAATTCCTTTTGGGAAAGGAGAAGGAAAATCACTTATTACAAGTTAAGAAATGGAAAATGGCAAAAGAAGAGGAAGATAAGAAAGGATGAGGATTATATAAGGTAAAAATATAAGGTAGTACTAAATAGAATCATTAATGAGAGAAATAGAAGGAATAAGTAAAAATGATCAGATTAAGAGTGGGTCATACCTATTGAAATGTCTATATCTAACAGGGAGGAAAAATAATGATAAATGTGAAGGATGTGGAGAAAAAGAAAATGTAGAACACGTGCTGATGAACTGTAAATTTATTAATATGAAAGGCAGAAATTGAGAAGATTGGTTGGAAGGACAGGCCAAAGATGGAGTCTTAAAGGAATATTAGGAAATTAGGGTTATTCATAGATTAAGGAAAGCAATATTTATTTATCTACAGAATACAAAATTAAAAATTGAATTTGATGTAATGTAATGTTGCTACACTCCTGTACAGTAGGTGGCGGTAAATGCACCTTAAAGTTGCTTGCGATCCGCCATAATAGAAAAGAAGAAGAAAGGTCGATTCAGAGTGACGTAGTTTTGTCGCGACGCAGCTGCTACACGTGTGTCTGATCCAGTTTGTTCAGCTATCAGCTGTTGTCAGTCCGCTGTGATGGAGGAGCGCAGCCGCTTGTGTTCCGTGTGGCTCGGTTCTGAGACCGGGATCCTGAAGGGGGTCAGTCTGGACCGGAAGCAGGCCTTTAACTTCTGCAACACGCGCTCTCTGAGCCGCGAGCAGGAGATCCGCGCGCTGTGCTGGGGGGACTCCGCCGAGAGCGAGCTACTGGTCGGCTGTTTGGACGGAACCGTCCGAACCTTCAGTACCGAGAAAGGCGTCTTCACAGAGGCCCGGAGCTTCGGAGACCCGCAGGACGGCGGCTACTGCGGGCTGGCCTCGCTGCGGGGCTCCGCCATCATCACCTGCGTGGAGTGCGGGAAGCTGCGGGTGTGGAGGGAGGACAGCAGCGGGCCGGTGGCCGAGCTGGACGCGGGCAGGAACGTGTGCAGGATGAGGCAGAGCCCAGCGGACCCGAACAGGGTGGCTACGGGGGGTAAAGAGAACGGCCTGAAGATCTGGGACCTGGAGCGGCCTGAAAAACCGCTGTTCACCGCAAAGAACCTGCGGGACGACTGGCTGGCCCTGCGGAGGCCGCACTGGGTCCGAGACATGGGCTTCATCCCGGACTCCGACAAGGTGGTCACCTGCACAGGGTACCATCAGGTAACCGATAGACAGGATCTGGTTTAGTTTGGCTCACAGTGGGACATCTGGGTCTGATGGGATCAAACTGAAGGAAGAAAGATCATTAAAACCTACAATTCAGTTTATTTCTATAGCGCTAATTCACAACACGTCATCTCAAGGCTCTTTACAGTTCAACCAGATCATACAGTCAGATTGATTCAAAGTTTTCTATCTAAGGAAAACCAGCTGATTGCATCGATTCATTGACTAAAATACAATCCCTCACACCAAGCATGCTTGTAGTGACAGTGGAGAGGAAAAACTCCATCTTAACAGGAAGAAACATTTAGTGTGGCTCGGTTTCTGAGACCTGGATCCTGAAGGGGGTCAGTCTGGACCGGAAGCAGGGCTTTAACTTCTGCAACACACGCTCTCTGAGCCGCAATAATCCATTACTTTAAAC